CCATTATAGTTTTCCTCTGTGGCATCATCGGGACGGGACAGGCATTCCTTTTCGCGCAAAGAGTAACGTCTTCGCGATCAGTGGTCATTTCACGTTTTAACCAGACTTAGACTTTGTGTGTACGTTCTGTTGTCATCCCGTTGGCCGTGGAATCGTTATTGAGCCCGAGAGCATCGTCACTCGTGTCGCGAGTGCCGAACCGCCGTGATCAATTGTCAAGACTGTACGGTGTTATCCATACCTGTGTCAATAAATCGTATCTTCGTTACACCGCAACGATGGCTACCTTCAATGAAGACTCCTCAAACACCGACAACCCTATCCTCAACGCCATTCCGACAAATATATAAAATGGTCATAAAACCAATCTGGACATACAGAATAGCACTATGGGGAACAGCATCAATGAGTCATATAACCAAAATAGAGGCAACGCAATCTAAAATATTCAGAACAATAGTACCCCATGGTACGTTAGAAACGAGGACATTCGGAAAGACCTGGGAATACCAACGGGCAAGGAGGAGATTAACAAAAGTGCAAGAAGGTACGGAGAACGAATAGCAACGCACCCAAACCGGCTGGCAGCGGAAACGGTCGACACATCAAGCATAAAAAGAAGATTAAAAAGGAAACACCCAACAGATCTCACAAAAGACATAACCTAACAAACACGATGATGGTACCCCGCTGGGAGTAGCCTCACTCACATGCTATACTAGGATACCGCTATAATATTTTACCAAATGTCCTACTGGACAAATTGTAAAATTTAAATAAATAAATAATAAAAAAGAATTGTTATCTTCTCATCTATGATTTTTATTGAACAAAACTTGAAATATTTATAAACTAATAGTACGCATATATAATAATATAGACGTATTTCATAAAAATAACAAATATGACGAGCGCTATTGCGCCGCTTGTTTTTCTTCGCAATCGATTAAGACAAGCGCTGTCGCGCTGTTCAGGATTCATCACCCCTTTTTTTTCAAAAACACCTGGGACTCAACCGGTTAAATCAGTGATTCCCGCGTGATTTCCCTTCTCGTCGATCTTCTCAAAGGCAAAATGTTCCTGACATCTCATCGATACATTTTCACAACATTTCAGCGAAACATATGAGCCACTATTTGCATCTATTCTTGATTTTCCGAAAGATTATATCCTTCAGGCCATACTTCTCCTGCTTTACCTTTGGATAAACATTATCGCCTTCCAATATTTTCCGTATTATATCGATATGATTATCCTGCAGTTGTGTCACCTTAATCCATTCAGTGGTTATGTCCATAGACAAACAATTTATAGGATTCCTACTTAAATAGTCCAGATAAACTGTCCCGTCCACTGGGCGATACACGATTTCAAAATTGTAATCCTGGAAGTAAGCGCATTAGCGAACAACTCCGGATCGAATATCTTTTTTATTTGCAGTCCAGCGAATTGCATTGCAGTCCGTAATCATTGTAAACCTTATATTAAGCAAATGCACGCCAATGAGTTCTGCTCTTCCGGACTAGTTTTTCGTATGTTCAATCAGCAATTAAATTATTCCAAATCCTACTGTCAAGGAATTCTCCTGCAAGAGATTTATCAATAATGTTATATTCCGAGTAAAATTTTCAATGAATTTTCGAAAGAATTTCGAAACCCCTAAAAATCTCGTCGTATCTGTTTAACATTTGTCGGATCGGGAGTCTCTATAAGTGCACGGATCTTTTCTCTGAAATTTCTCTGCCTCAATATTCTATTTTTCTAAATTTATTATAAAATTCTTTTTCTCAAACGCGCGTAGAACAATTTGTAATTACTTAAAACCTCTCTCAAGCTCCTTAATGTTTAACAACTAGAAATATGCGAGAACTCGAAAATATCGGGTGGAGTCGGGATGAGAAATATCCTCGAAAATCTCGGGATTCTCGAATATGTCAGGATTCCTGAGAGTGTTGGGGATTCTCGATGATGGGCATGATGAGGATTGTGTTGGCAAGGTAATAGATGTTATTACTTTGCCAACGCCCTGGCCACGTTGAGTGCACTCGTTCCCGTCAGATCACGAAAGTTAAGCAGCGCCGGACATGGATAGTACTTGGATGTGTGATCGCCTGGGAATTCTGTGTGGCGTTAGCGAAGCACGCTGGGCCCGCCCC